ATTATATTAAATGGCTTAGAAAAAAATAATGCAAGGAATGTTTTTTCATCAGTACAAATTTCTGAAGGTCAGTCCAATATTGACTCCAAACGTCAGGATATACAGACCATGCTAGATTATTACTAATTTTAACAAGGATCCCACTGTTTAATTAGCATCTTGAAAGGCATAATCTAAGCCTCTTAGTTCAAATTATATAATTTCACACCTAGAGCATATATGTAGTTTGGGGAACCTTTCCAAAAACTTTGCCAATAGCATTGGTTTAATGCCTAAAGTGGAAAAGACACAAGCACCATAGTTTTACTATGGAATTATTTCTGCATACACCTTTCTGAAATAATCAATTGATGATTAGCTCTCTGATGATTTAAAGGAATCATAATATCTTTGAAAAGAAGGCATTTTCCAAAATATTTAAAGGATATATTTCATAGAACCTACTGTACTAGGTTGCTATGAGTCAGAATTGATATAATTTTTTTTTTTTTTTTTTTTTAATTGTACTAGGCAAGGAAGAAAATAGAACACAGTTAGCCTTTTGCTTCAGCCAGGGACTACTAGGATCACACTCTGTAGTACCTTCTCAACGTTTTCAAATATTAGGAATGGATGTCTTTGCTAGAATAGGCTAGTGATGACATTAATTTGCAAGGGCCAGTTAGACACTGTAAAGCAGGTTTTGTAGGTATAATTAGAAAGAGACCAGATTTTTTTTTTCTGAAGCATGTAAAATCATTCAAAATTGAAGTATAGAAATAGAAAAAAACAACCTTCTGAGTAAACTGGCCCGTAAAAATGACTTGATTAGATATGTAGTTCAGAATTCTGAATAAATTACTGAAGATTCTTCAAGTTTCACCTACACTTATGCTATACCTACTTTTCACTTATTCAACATTTTATTGGGGAGGGGAGACACAGTGCTGAAGTCAGCGCACAGTCCCTGACTGTCACATAATATGAATTGCGCATTATGACCTGGTCTTTGGAACCTTACCATGCAGTAAAGTAGGTATACTTACATGTTCCTTGACAACTGCTCTACTGATCTATTCTATATCCTTAGCATTAAATGCCAGGGTCTTAACCAGGTAACACAGCATCTGAACCACATCAACACGAGCTGACTAAAATTAGAAATACCACATGAAGGGCATGTGATAAGCAATCCAGCACAGTTTTTGTGGTACTCTGTGGCCATTTAATCCATTCAACTGTTTTGTGCTGGCACTGAAACCATCTTAAATAAGTAAATATTTATTCTAATTATAATTGTCTATTGAAGCTGCTTTGGGAACACAATTTCATATTACCCTCATTCAACAAAGAAATCCATAAACATGCTTAAGCTTGGATGATCTAAAGAGCTATTTAATAGTTTCTGAAGAAAAGTATTGCTGCAGTTAGGTTGGTCTCTTTTCATCTCCCCTAGAATAACAACTTGTAATGCACTGCCCCTAAACCAAGAACAAGCTGCCCCCTCTTTGTCAGACACCCCATGGATTCCATTCCATGAAGACTTTCCTAACACCCACATCGACAACTTCCTGTTTTGAATTTTTGGTGTATTTATATAATAGCATAAAGATCTGTAAACAATTACTTATAAAAAACCTGAACATTTGATTATAGAAAAGACTTTACTTTCTAAATTTTATTTATATGAGATCTCAAACAATTACTTTACTATTGTTTAGTATGTTAATTTGTTCTAATTTTCTTGTCTGTTAGTTTCAAATTTTCTTGTCTGATGCACCTCATACAACCTCTTTAGAGCTTGGCAGAGTTCTGTATGTGATATCAACTGGTTGCCTGACTGGTAGGCACATTGGTTAAAGTGCTAGATACTAACCAAAAGGGCGGCGGTTCAAAGCCAGCAGCTACTTCTCAGGAGAAAGATGTGGCAATCTGCTTCTGTAAAATTTAAAGCTCTAGAAACCTTATGGGGCAGTTCTACTGCCCTACACAGTAGCTGTGTATCAGAACTGAGTTGATGGCAATGGGTTTGGGTTTGGTTGCCTGACTAAGTGATTCTATGGAGACGATTCCTATTCCTTTTGTTAAGATGTCATGCATTCGGTCATTCATTCTATTAATGGTCATTACTCTTGTAATTACACTTTTTCTTAGCCTTGAAAATTGTAGAAGAGAATCACAGGTGAGAACACAGGGAAGGAAATGTTGGGGAAAACAGCAATTTCTTTAATGTTTAGGTCCCAAAGTTATTTCTATTTCAAATATCTCCCAGTAGAATCTCCTACTCCATGTCTTCTTTGTCCTTCAGAATAGCCCATGGGAGTGAGGAATTCCATAGGTTCATGTGGCACAGCACACTGTGGTGGTGCCGGTGGGGCTTATGTGTGTGTCTAGGGTATAGTGAGGAGTGCAAAAGCAGTCTAGTATGTTTTCATGACATACATGATGACAGTATATCTGATAAAGATATATTTATGTTCTTTATAACATTCTAACATATCTTCTCTGACAATCTTTATCTAGTGACACAATAACCTTTTCATCAAAATTAAAGACAGATTATAGAAATATTCTTGATTTTAAAACATGTCAAAAAATAACTAAATAATACAGTTTGTCTTGATATGTGACACATGTGTGAAATAGATATGAGAATTGAAAGGTGGAGTATAAGTGCAGCAATAATCAAGTCAGAGGAGAAGCTAATTCTGTTACTTTTCTATTAAAATAAAATTACATACCTATGCAGGCACTTTAAAAAATCCAGTAAGGAGAGGTTTCTAACAAAGCTGAAGGCTGGACTCCATTTTTGCTGTTCACTGCTTATTCTGATCTGACTTTTGAAAGTTAGCTAGATAGCAAACCTCAGAAAGCCTGTAGGCTCCCCATCTCTCCCTTCCTCTCACAATTTACTCCCAGGAAAAATAATCACTTAGGCTGGCCCCAGAAATATCCATAGATTAACAAGACTTTAACAAATTCAAACTTTATAATTAACAAAACAATGCTCATAGGATCCTGGACCTGTCTGGTGTCTCTTACAGCACTATTTCATACATTTCAACCAACTGGGATTTTTTTCTTGTAAATTCCTGGATTTTCTGTACTTCAACTCTGTGGAGGATTTGTCTCATCAGAGTACTTTTGTGAATCCTCACAAAATGCTGCCTGATATAGGTCAGTCTATTCCTTCAAAAAAACTCTTCCCTTTTATTTTAATATAAATAGATGCCAATTTGTTTTTTGACATACCTAATCATTTTGATGTTTTGTTCATTTCTCCTTTGATTATAAAAATAATTAAGAATCTTCACAGTTGAAAAACACAACCAACCAATATTCACTTCAATTAAAATCAGAGATTTGTAAAGTTTTTATCCTCATTTAATCTTTAAGAAGAAAAGAAACCCCAGTAGAACATTTAAAACAAACCCAATCACTTAAAACCAAACTCACTGCCACTGAGCTGATTCTGACTCATGGCGACCCCCCACTGGGTTTCTGAGGCAGTGAATCTTTATGGAAGTAGCCTGCCCCATCTTGCTTCCAAGGAGTGGCTGGTGAGTTTGAGTAGCGAACCTTCTAGTTAGCAGTCAAATGCCTTAGGCACCATTCCTTGGAAACTAGAATGGCCAGACTTCTCACCTACTTTGGTCATGTAGTCAGAAGGGACCACTTCTCCTGGCTACCACTGTCAATCAACTGGAAAGGGATCAGTACAGGAGATCCTGAGTAGAGTGGGAGAACAATATGGAACAAAACTCAAAATCACTAAAAAAAAAAGACCAGGTTTACTGCTCTGATAGAGCCTGGTAAGACTCTTGAGGCTATGGCCCCTAGTTTCCCTTCAGGTCTGGAACTGAACTTACTCCTGTGGCTTCCAGCCAAACAATAGACAGGCATAGGGTGAACATTTACATCGGACAGATACACTCCTTAGAATGATCAATCATGGGAGAACAGAAGGGCAGTATTTGCAAAGGAAGACAAATCAGGGGGCAGGAATGACAGGAAAGGACACAGGGGAGAGGTTACACAAGGGGAGGAAGTGGGAAAAGAGCATTGTGGGGAATTGCAGTTAATGTCATGAAACAAAATGTATATGAACTGTTGTAAGGAAAATGAATTTGCTCTGTAAACTTTCACCCAAGTAACAACTGAAAAAAAAAAAAAGATGATGATGACGAAAGGACTACTCCCTGGAGAAGGTTATCATGCTTAGCAAAGTGGAGGGTCAGTGAGAAAGGGGAAGACCCTCACCAAGACAGACTGACACAGTGGCTGCAGTGATGGGCTCAGGTATAGCAAGGATTGTGAGGACAGCGTGTGACCAGGCTGTGTTATACACAGGGTTGCTATGAGTCAGAGTTGACTCCACGGCACCTAACAACAACAACAAATCACTTTGGGGTTATTTTTGAAATTTTATTATATATTTTACATATGTGTGTGTGTGTATTTACTACTTGGGAGGGGATGCACTGCTATAGAGTCGACTCTGACTCATAGTGACCCTCATTGAGTTTATAAGGCTGTAAATCTTTATGGAAGTAGATTGCCTCATCTTCCTCCCAAGGAGCAGCTGATAGGTTTGAACAGCTGACCTTCTGGTTTGCAGCCAAATGCCTTACCCACTGTACTACCAAATCTCTACCAGTCAAGCAAATTCAAACATCCTGAGGAATTTCTTGTGTTTCCTTGAGATTTCAAAGGAGGCCTGTGAAAAAAAGGAAGGTCTGGAAGATGGCAGTTACTAATAAGGATGGAATGGGTGACACATCTTAATTAGGAAATAAAGAGAAGAGGCAGATGAAGAATAAAGGGACTGAAGGCTGAAAGAAGTCAGGGAAATCTAGAAACTTCCCAGCCTGAAAGAAAAAGAAGAGGGTATGCAGAAAGCCAAGGTGGTATTACTTTTATACACTTTGGTTGTTACCATAACTGGAAACCAACAGTTTAGTCCCATTACATAATTCACTCAATTAACCAGAGATTGACACATTGTGATCTAGCAACATTACCTCACCAGATCCTTGTAGATAAGTTTTGTTGTCTCCAGATACGGATTAAGCACATCTTCATATTGACAAAGGGCTCCACCAAGGCAAAGGTGTTTGAAAAGACAAAACAGGAACTCTTCTCTATCTGTTTGGCTGAACACTTCATATTTTTCTGAGTCTTCCATTAGCAAAACCTATATAAAATAATAAATTCCTCTAAATGTAATATAGTTGGAGGTACTAATTTATATGTTTTCAAAAGTCTTTCAATTATTTATTTAAAATAAACTTAAGAGTTATTTTGAAAAACAAACCTGAGGCAACTGGAGACTGATGTGTGAGATTTACATTTACTTCCACTAAATTTTGTCATTAGGAGCTCTGGTAGCATAGTGCGTAAAGCACTTGACTGCTAACCAGAAGGCTGGTGGTTCAAACCCACCAGCCACTCCTCGGAAGGAAGGTTGGGCAGTCTACTCCTGTAGTGATACTACCTCGGAAACCCAAGGAGGGGTCGCTGTCAATCAGATCTGACTTGACAGCACATAACAACAATAACATTTCATCATTAGGTACTAATATTCAATATAGCAAAATTTAAAATACATCTGCTAAATCTTTCTTTCTTCTACTTTATGTTCTAGTTTACATTTTTTATTAATTGTTTAGTGCTATTGCATTTTTAAGGAGCTCTGGTGGTATAGTGGTTAAGGCATTTGTCTGCTAACCAAAAGGTCACTGATTTGAACCTACTAGCTGCTCCATGGAAGAAAGATGAGGCGGTTGGCTTCTGTAAAGATTTATAGCCTTGGAAATCCATGGGGGTGACTATGAGTTGGAATCTACTCACTGGCAGTGAGTTTGGTTTTGATTGCGTTTTGAGTATAAAGTCACTGCAAGTCTTATTTGGAAATAAATTAGGAATATAAATAAATAGGGAAATTTCTCCATCAAATAAGGTCTCTCTTCTCTGCTTCCATCCAGAGGCTAAACACAAACAGTCATTTTCTAAGCCCTCTGATCTTACAGTGTTGGGATTACTCCTTTTCTTACTCCCACAGTTACTCCATTTTGAACCAATCAGGTAACAGGAGCCTCATACCCCTATGTCCCCCTGCTTCTTCACTAATAAATAATATCACCTTACACTGAGTGGTGCAAATGATTAATGAACTCAGCTGTTAACCTAAAGCTTGATGATTTGCGTCTATCTGGGCACTTCAGAAGAAAGGTCTGGGGATCTACTTCTGAAACATCAGTCACTGAAAAATTCTGTGGAGCAGAGTTCTACTCTGACACACATGCAGTAACAATGAGTCGACTTGGATGGGAAATGTCAACCTTAATGACATGATGGAGTAAAGCTTTCAGGACCTTCATTTGCTGATGGGGCACAACTCAAAATGGGAAGAAACAGCCAAACGCAACCATTAATAATCACAATGTGGAATATATGAAGTATGAACCTAGGAAAATGGAAAGTTGTCAAAAACGAAATAGAACACATAAATATCTATGTCCTAGGCATTAGTGAGCTGAAACGGATGGGTATTGGACAATTTGAATCAGATAATCATATGGTATACTATGCCAGGAATGAAAAATTAAAGAAGAATGGTGTTGCATTCATTTAAAAAAAAAAAAACATTTCAAGATCTATCCTGAAGTACAATGGTGTGATAGGATAATATCCATACACCTACAAGGAATACCAGTTAATACTATGATTATGATTTCATAATTTATGTACCAATCACTAAAGCCAATGATAAACAAATTGAAAATTTTTATTAACTTCTGAGTCTGAAATTGACCAAATATTCAGTCAAGGTGTATTGACTATTACTGGTGATTGGAATGCAAAAGTTGGAAACAAAGAAGCAGCATCAATAATTGGAAAATATGGCCATGGTGACAGAAATTATGCTGGAGATCACATGACAGAATTTTGCAAGACCAATGACTTGTTCATTGCAAATACCTTTTTTCAATAATATAAACAGTGACTATACATGAGGATTTCCCCAGATGAAATACACAGGAATCAAATCAATTACTTCTGTGGAAAGAAGCAGTGGAGAAGCTAAATATCATCAGTCAAAACAAAACAAAGAGTGGACTGTGGAAGAGACCATCAATTGCTCATATGCAAGTTCAAGTTGAAGATGAAGAAAGTTAGAACAAGTTCCAAATATGACCTTAACTATATCCCACTGAAATTGGAGACCATCTGAAGAGCAGATGTGATGCACTGAAAACCAATGACCAAAGACCAGATGAGTTATAGGATGTTATCAAGAACATCATATACAAAGAAAGAAAAAGGTCATTAAAAAGACAGGAAAGGAAGACAAAATGGATATCAGAAGAAACTCTGAAAATTGTCTTGAATGGAGAGTAGCTAAAGCAAATGGATAAAATGATGACATGAAAGAGCTGAACAGAAGATTTTAAAGGGCAGCTTGAGAAGATAAAGTAAAATATTATAATGACATGTGCAAAGACCTGGAGTTAGAAAACCAAAAGAGAAGAACACACTCAGCATCTCTCAAGCTCAAAGAACTGAAGAAAAAATTCCAGTCTCAAGTTGCAATACTGAAGGATTCTACAGCCAAAATGAGATGGAAGGAATACACAGAGTCATTGTACCAAAAAGAACTGCTTGATGTTCAGCCATTTCAGGAGGTAGCATATGATCAAGAACCACTGGTATTGAAGGAAGAAGTCCAAACTGCACAGAAGGAATTGAGAAAAACAAGGCTACAGGAATTGATGGAATACTCATTGAGATGTTTCAACAAACAGATGCAGAGCTAGAGGCACTTACGCCAAGAAATTTGGAAGACAGCTACCTGGCCAACTGACTGGAAGAGATCCATGTCTGTGCCCATTCTAAAGAAAGGTGATCCAACAGAATGTGGAAAACATCAAACAATATCATTACTATCACATGCAAGTACAATTTTGCTGAAGATAATTCAAAAAGGTAGCAGCAGGATATTGACAGAGAACTACAAGAAATTCAAGCCAGATTCAGAAGAGGCCATAGAACAAGTGATACAACCTTTGATGGCTGAAAATAAAGAATACCACAAAGATGTTTACCTGTTTTTTTATTGACTATGAAAAGGCATTTGACTGTGTGTATCAGAAAAAATTACAGGTAAAATTGTGAAGAATGGGAATCCTAAAATACTTAATTATGCTCATAAGGAACCTGTGCATAGACTAAGAAGCTGTTGTTTGAACAGAACAAGGGGAGTTTGCATGGTTTAAAATCAGTAAGTGTGTGTGTCAGGGTTGTATCCTTCCACCATACTTATTCAATCTGTATGCTGAGCAAATAATCTGATAAACTGGACTATACGAAGAAAAACATGGCTTTAGGATTGGAGGAAGACTCATTAACAACTTGCTATATGCAGATGAAAGGAGCTCTGGTGGCCTAAGGCATTTGACTGCTAACTAGAAGGCTGGTAGTTCAAACCCACCAGCCACCTTGTGGAAGACAGACTGGGAGATCTACTTCTGTAAAGATATACTGCCTTGAAAATACAAAGGGGGTCACTATGAGTTGGAATCCACTCAATGGAAGTGAGTTTTTTTTCTCTGTATATGCAAATAACACAACCTTGCTTGCTGAAAGTGAAGATGTCTTGAAGCACTTACTGATGAAGATCAAAGACTACAGTCTTCAGTACGGATTACACCTCAACATAAAGAAAACCAAAATCCTCACAACTGGACCAATAAGCAACATCATGATAAATGGAGAAAAGACTGAACTTGTTAGGGATTTCATTGCACTTGGATCCACAATCGTGGAAGCAGCAATCAAGAAATCAGATGTTGTACTGCAACAGCAAAAAGATGGAAACAACTAGGTCCCCATCAATGGAAGAATATATAAGCAAACTATGGTATATACACACAATGGAATACTATGCAAACCTAAAGAATAATGTAGAATCTACAAAACACCACATAATGTGGATAAACTTGGAGGACATTATGCTGAGTGAAATAAATCAATCACAGAAGGACAAATATTATATTAGTCCATTATTGTAAAAGTCAAGGAAAGGTTTATCTATGGAAGGAAATTTTCTTTGTTGGTTACCAGGGGTGGGAGGGGAGGGGAGGGAACACTGTTAGACAGGTAGAGGACAATATTGATTTGGGTTAAGAGAAGGGTAATGTACCAAATGTTGAGTGATCAACATGGTGGCATTGAGGAAGAGGAAGACATAGAGAGGCACATGGGAGGCACAGACAACAAAGATGAACCCTTTTGCACATACACTATTGCATTGTCAGTGAAGGCAAACATGGGTATATGGGTGGATAGATGGGTGGACAGGCTGAATTATCAGGTATGTCTATGAAGTGGAGAGTGTACCCAAGACCTTGTGTAGGGTTGGCAGACAATGGCCCTATAATTGTATTTGTATGATCTGTAAGAATTCCCAGGTGTATAGTAGAGCTGACAAGGGACAAGGTTGTAGCCATTTTTTGGTCACAGCCAACTACCCAGAGGGACTGAGTAGTTGAACCGGTGGGCTCAGGACCATGGTCACAGGGGATATCAAGCTCAATTGGCATAACATACTACACAAAACATTGTTCCACCTCCTACTTTGGCAAGTAGTGACTGGGATCTTAAAAGCTTGTAGGCAGCCATCTAGATGCAATGATGGGTCTCTCCTCGTCCAGAGCAAAGAAGAATGAAGAAAACCAAAGATTCATGGAAACAATTAGTCCTAGAGACTGGCAGACCATGTGATCCTCAGCCTATATGACTATGAGACCAGAAGAACTAGATGGTGCCTGGCTACCACTGTCAACCACTTGGAGGGGGATCTATGTAGGAGATCCTGGATAGAGAGGCAGGACAATGTGGAACAAAACTCAAAATCATTTGGAAAAAAAAAAAAAAGTGGAGACCAGGTTTGCTGGTCTGATAGAGCCTGGTGGAACCACTAAGACTATGGCCCCTAGCTGCCCTTCAGGTCTGGAATTGAATCCACACCTGTGGCTTCTAGCCAAGCAAAAGACAGGCATATGAGTTGAAACATTTACCTGAGGTAGACACACTCCTTGGAGAGAACAATCATGGGAGAAAGAAGAGCTGCTTATGCACAGGGAAACAGCTCAGCGGCAGGAGTGCATGGAGGGATGGACACAGGGAAGAGGT